TCATGCTTGCCTCGCCGGGGGAACTGCCGCGTCCCCAGATTTATCACAATCCTTCTCACTTGCCCTTATTACCTTTCGAGCTAACGCGGTCGCTCAATGTCCCGGTACTAACATGTTCTTAACCTTTTGTAGTGCGATGTTACGGTCGTCCATCAACTTTATCTACGTAAAGATACCAAAAGAGTGTAAGCACAAGTAATAATACTACTAAAAATGTTTTGTATTTGCGATATAAACTTGTATTTATATTGCTAAGCATACAGCGACTGTATTCGTCATGTAATTCATTAAAATAATTGACACATGTAATGGTCGAACAAGAATCGAACAGTTTTTTTTATGCACCAAAATTAATTTTCATTTTTATCAGATTAAAAAGTATGTAAACATAAGTTCAGAATTCGATACATTTGTTGTCATTTTGTTTTTTTTTATTTAAATGACATAATAAATAGTTAATAAATGTCACATTTACAAATTACACAATTTAATGATGATAAGAAATAATAATTAAATTCAATTTAAAAAAGATAAAATGCCAGTTGATTTATCGTTTTACGTAAAAATATTATACAAAAACGAAAAAATAACCAACAGTAAGTAATTAGAAATTCTTGGATTTTTTCGTAACATTAATTGATGCTTACTATTTAAAGTGAGTCACGGAAAAGTTAATAACGTAAAGTTTCTTTTAGTTCGATTACATTTTAAATCACTCATCGTTGACAAAAATCTTTAAAAAAAAATCTCAAACTAAAAAAAACGTCGAACAATATATCGATTCATTTAGTTCGTGCATTCACAATTTTTTTAATTTGGTTCAACTCAAATACCTCACATCGAACATTTTCAGTTACAAAAAGTAGATATAAAATGTTTGATATTGAAGAATACGATTAAATATGGGACAAGATAATTACCTCTAATAGAAAAGGTGGGGGAAAGTGGTATTGTCTATTGTATTCGATCCCCCATTTCAAAGCTTAGTTTATTGCTCGTCGTGAATAATAAACCGTTAGACCATATGACGTGCATTATATCAGTTTCACACGGCGAACAATCAAGCAATGATGTACTGTTGTCTACCGCACTGACACACTATTCTCCCCTCGTGGAAAGCTAGCATTAGGTGATAGCCGTCCTGAAGATGGCCCCTGATGGACCCAGATCGATTGCGGTGAATAATAAAAGAGAGAACGCGGGGCCGCGGCTCGTAACGACCCCGCCGCGCCTCCGTCACGCCTGCCCAACATCGTCCGGCGATGGACTTAGGTTCACCATACGTACATAAAATTATCATAGATTTCCTCTTAATCTTTTTAATAAAGCAAAGATCTATGTCTTAAACCAAATCTATTTAGGCTTAGGTTGTACGATAGAAAATATTTCCTTGATTCATGGCAAAGAACCAATAACATAACATTTTAAATACTGCATATTACAATGCCAGCTTATTCTGGAAGTGGGGTGTTAAAATTGACGTAATATGTAGAGAAAAATTTCTCTTGGTCTCGGAAAACCATCCTTATTGTAATGATGTAAAATAATTTAAGATTCAAAAGAGTTACCATCGGGACAGAATTCCTGAGATATCATAAATTGTGGTCACCGTAACGCAGGCTACAGCTCGGCCACTATGTCTTACGAACTATCTGAAAATTGCAAAAGTCAGGTGAACTATATTTTAGTATACAGAAAATAAAAATGTCTAAAAATAAAGTACAACCTAATACAACAAAATTCGTCTTGTTTTTTATAGCGCGAAGTTTTTTAGTGTTCTAATAGATTTTCATCCGTGTTAACCTCAAACAACTTACTATTTTAGCAGTTTTAATAAAGAAAATATATTTTATAGAGACACAATTAAAATAATATTTATTTCCTCAACACTCGAATAAAAGGTATCACAAAAAATGTTTTCTGTTCCTATATAACTGAATAATTTAAGCCAAAGATAATAAAAGGCAAGTTGCTAGCGTTCCGTCCACATGTGAGAGGTTTTGCGTCAGGTGACGGTTCCCCGGAGAACCACAGTCTGCCACCTCGATATAGTACAGGCGACACAACATACGTCATAGAGAACCACGTCAGCAATACCAGCCAATCATTATGTTTTAGATCCGATTTTAAAACATAAAAATGTTTTCATAAAAAACAAATGTGTCATAACTTCTACGTAAAAAGTGAAATGTACAAATACATGTAGGCACAAACTTCACACTGAGTTTCCACTGCTTCTTCTGTTTGAAACAATAATGTTTATTGTACACGTGTTTCGACGGAGAAATCCGCGGTAAAATTTTATTTTCGCGCTTTACTGAGCCTCAGTTAACTTAGTTTAAGATATAAGAAGTGGTTCGTAAATATCCACTGACAGATAAAATATATTGTCGTCACTTGCATTATCTTTGAAAGAAAAGAGACAGCAATTATGTTCGTATATATACAAGCGACATTTGAAATTCCTTCAAAGATTGTAACCGGTTGGGTCCTTGTAACTTGAAGTTCTTACATTGTAACATTTCGATTTACATACCGTGGTGTCATACTTTCTAATATCCCGTTACGATACTTTGGCGTCACGTTCAATAATTTATGTTATCCGTGTAATAACAGGCCGCTAGGCGGCGCTCACGTAGCGTGTCTCAAGAACTTGAAATTTTGATCAATATTGCATCTACACATCGCTGCCGCTACGGAACTTTCGTTCTGCTATTGCTGCATACTTTATGGTCGCCTGGTAAGTGAAACTAGCGCGGGACAAAAACTACATGATCCATTGTTCGTAGTTTCGCGTACCTGAACTTATTTTTTATTGATATATACCCTTTAAATATTAATCCTATTGCCTTTTTTATGGTTTGTAGTAAGAGAGGATGAACTGTAATACAAAGAATTCATACTTATCCCTCAAAAATATTTACCAAAGAAATTACTGTAAATTTTTATATTCAAAACCTATCGATCCTAATAAAAATGTTTGTAGGTCAGTTTGTTGTAGTTACCATTACGTATGGATAGTAATAGCTTTTATTTTTTTCCTAAAATAGAAAGAAGGCCAGTATTGTGTCTCGACTTTCTTTAATATTTGATGTGACAGTTTTGAAGTTCTCCCTCTCCGTACCCGATGCACAATAAGCATACTAGACTATGCTAAAACCATTTTTATACAAATAAGTAAATTATGGCATATATAAGAGCGTCGGTGGCTCAGGAGTCAAGCACTTGACTTGCAATCTGTCCTGGCTTCGAATCCCGCCATGTACCAATATGTTTTTCTATTTCCGATTTACATTTATCCGACGTTCTTACGGTGAAGGAAAATATCGTGATGCAACCTGCACATATCTGAGAAGGAATTCAAAGATATGTGTGAAGTCAACCAACCCGCACTTGGCCAGTGTGGTTGACTAACGCCTAATCACCCTTAACTTATGGTAGGCTCCGAGCCCCTCGGTGGGGACGTATAGTGAGCTGATGATGATGACTATATAGCATAAGATAATATCTTCAAAGGTTATTTTCTATTTTAGTTGATGCTATCCAGGTGTTCATGTTGATCAGATTGTTATGAAAATTACTTTGGGTGTTCTGCAAGCCTTCAATTCTGAACGTTTATTTTTAGTTTTTTACGAATAATATTTTACTTGGCGTATTCACTAATGTTGTGTGAATCCGGTGTTCGTATCAAAATAACATTTACACTTCTCAATAATTTCGATTCACGAGAAAACCTTGAAGTCTTTATATTCTTGTTAACTCTTGTGATAACTTAACGTTTTTGCCTTAAACTTCTTTGTCTTTTCTATTGTAGTGATAAAAACAAGTTTTCGTCGTATTTATCGTAAATAGTTTAATTAATCACACGATACAAATATGCTTCAGTATTAAATCGTTAACATGTGAAGTAATACGTCGTCGCATGTCGACTGTGTAAATAATTCATTATCTTTTTTTGTTTCTTTTTTTCGTACAAACGCAGCTGCGTACAGTGAGTACAACAATATATCTTTATAGTATTACATGTAATTATTATGTGTTTATTAATTTAACTCTATTATAATGATTTCAAAAAGATCGAAGAAAAAGACCCCATAATTAGAATTCCAAGATAAACATTTTTAACAGCGGTAGACCCCGCTTTAACATCTTCGCACGTATTGGCCCGGCTCGCCCGGTGAAATACCACGACCACACACAGGCGTCAAGTGGAAGCATATCCGCGTTCCGTCTGATGAGAGTGCGTCCCGGAGGCCTAATTTAGTCCTCTTCCCTTCCCATCCTTTTTCTTAGAAGGAAAGGATAGGATGTGGAAGTAGACTTTCCGGATGAGAGAATGCATGGAAAGGGTCAAAATTTCTTACTGTGCATCCTCTTCCCCGTCGATTAAAGGTAGGCAACGCATATGCAATTGCGTATGTCTATAGGCAACGGTCACTTCGCTATTTCAGCGATTTCAGGTGGCCGCTCGCTCGTTTGCCACCTTATAATATAAAAAAAAACTTTTTGTCTTAGAAAAGCAGCTAAATATCTTACTACATATTTTAATGAAACTCTTTGTTTTTTTTTTTTTAATTAATTGAAAATATAAATCTGTTATTATTTATCGTTGTAAGATTGTTGATTGTTGTTATTAATTATTTGTTGCGTTTACTTTTAATTTAACATTTATAATTATTTTATTTTCTATGTCATTTTTTTTCTTCATATACTTGTATAATTAAAACCATTTGTAGACACATATTTTATCTATGATCCATATCTAGTGTTGGAAACCTATTTCTGAATTAAGACAGAAGAGCTAGGAATACTTTGTCTAGAATCTGGATGATGACTTTACTAGATATAGGTCTCGCCTTTTGACTTCTAGTGTTTAATATTAGATCACGAGATGGCTCAAATATAACTCTTTAATTTGTACTGACCTCGTAATGTAACAAACAGCCTAGGTACCAATAAGAAATAATTTTGTTAATGTGTTTATACCTCGTTGGTTGCAGGAAGTGGAGTCAAGGTGGTGAGATGAAGTGTTGCGGAGAGACGGGAGTGCGCGCCGCTAGAAGCGGGCGCGGCGGCGCAGCTTACTGCGCGCGAGTGGCGCGGCTACGGCGTGCGCTACTGCTGCTGGCCGCCGCCGCCTGCACAGCAGCCGCACTGCTCTACTGGCGCCAGCAGACCGACGGCAGCGCTACCCGCCCCCTGCACAACGTCTTCTCGTAAGCGAAATCTGACACAACGCGCGGGCCTATACCTATATGTCATTCTTGTATTGCGAGGCCACTAAACATAGTGTAAAGTGATAGAAAAGTAAAAGACCAGACTAATTTTATTTATAATAGGTTATAATACGTAAAAGTATAACTTTTATTTGCAGTGGTGCTGAGCCCGAATGGACCTGGCTGTGTCGCAACGAGCGCTGCGAGCGGCTACCCGCGGCGGAGATGTCCTCCTTGCAATCGCTACCCACCTGCAACATGCTGTGCGCCTCCACGCAGCTGTGGCCGCAGCCCACGGGGCCCGTCAGCCTGGCCACCGCAGCCGTGCCCGTCTCCGCGGCCGGCTTCGCGCTCGAGGTCATCGCCGCACCCACGCATGACGTCGCCGACCACCTCGAGGACGCCTTCAGTATCCTACGCGAGGACCTGCGCACCCTGGAGCGTCAGATCGGCGACACCAAGCGAGGCGACATCGGACCCGCGCACGAAGTCATCGTGCGGGTCTCGGTCAATGGCAGCCAAGACGTTCGTATGCGAATCGACACCGATGAGAGCTACAAGCTGTCGCTCCGGCCGGAGGGATCGACTCTCGTGGCCCACATTACGGCGCAATCCTTTTGCGGCGCACGCCACGGCTTCGAAACCCTCTCTCAGGTGGTCTGGCTCGACCCCTATGCCGGCTCTCTGCTCATTCTAGAAGCGGCCACGGTGGACGACGCCCCGCGCTTTCGCTATAGGGGACTTTTGCTGGACACCGCACGGAACTATTTCCCCGTAGGCGAGATCATGCGCACCATCGACGCCATGGCCGCCTGCAAGCTTAACACATTCCACTGGCACGTCAGCGACTCGCAATCGTTCCCTCTGCGGTTGAAAAGCGCGCCGCAGCTGGCGCAACATGGCGCGTACGGGCCCGGCGCCGTCTACACCACCGAGGAGGTGCAGGCGGTGGTGCGGCGCGCCAGGCTGCGTGGCATCCGCGTCCTGCTCGAGGTGGACGCTCCGGCGCACGTCGGCCGCGCCTGGGCCTGGGGCCCGCAGGCCGGCCTCGGCAATCTCGCGTTCTGCGTCGAGGTCGAGCCCTGGAGCGCGTACTGCGGCGAGCCGCCGTGCGGACAGCTCAACCCGCGCAATCCTCACGTCTACGAAATACTGGAGCGAATATACGCCGAGATCATCGAGCTGACCGGCGTCGATGACATTTTCCATTTGGGCGGCGACGAGGTCTCCGAGCGCTGCTGGTCGCAATACTTCAACGACACCGATCCTATGGATCTCTGGATGGATTTTACTCGCCGCGCGATGCGAGCGCTCGAGCGCGCGAACGGTGGTAAGGCGCCGGAGATGACGCTGCTGTGGTCGTCGCGCCTGACGCGCTCGCCTTACCTGGAGCGCCTGGACGTGAAGAAATACGGCATCCAGGTGTGGGGTGCGTCGCGGTGGCCGGAGTCCCGCGCGGTGCTGGACGCCGGTTTCCGCTCAGTGATATCGCACGTGGACGCGTGGTACCTGGACTGCGGCTTCGGCTCGTGGCGCGACAGCTCCGATGGCCACTGCGGCCCATACCGCTCCTGGCAGCAGATCTACGAGCACCGGCCCTGGGTGGAGGAGTCCAGCGGCGGGCCAGGTGTGGGGTTGACGGGGGAGAGCTGGCGCATCGAGGGCGGCGAGGCGTGCCAGTGGAGCGAGCAGCTGGCGGCGGGCGGGCTGGACGCGCGCGTTTGGCCGCGCGCCGCAGCGCTGGCGGAGCGGCTGTGGTCGGACCGCGCGGAGGGCGCCGCTGCCGACGTGTACCTGCGCCTGGACACGCAGCGCGCGCGGCTGCGGGCCCGCGGCGTGCGCCCCGCGCCGCTCTGGCCGCGCTGGTGCACCCACAATCCTCACGCCTGCCTCTAGCGACCCCACACAACACTACACACTTCTCTGTGTCACTGCCCTTATTGATGCTCTCGTTATTTCATCCTTACTATGAATTTAATTAGAGGATGAAAAACAATCTATGACGTTATGTTGAATGAAAATAATTCACAACAGATAAATACAATTAATGTTATGCCATCGTAAGTTGACATCTAGTACATTATAGTACTTCAATTAAGTTCGATACGTTGTGACGAGAATTAGTGCTAACATTTACTAATCTGCGAAAACTTTTTCGTGTTAAACAAAATTTAGGTTTAAATATTCAATATATGTGACATAAGGAGGACGACACTCCAATAATAAAGCGAGGAATAAGTATCGGATATTAAGCTTTCAAAGTGTCGATTTACGACATTCTTTTCGTAAATACTTAAACAAAAATTGGCACTTAGTACTTGCTTGACTTATTTGACCTATATATTTGGAACAGATATAATCTATAATTGTGTCTAGTTATTGCTTTCGACAGCTTTAGTGAACTCCTCAGAAATATATTTTGTTTACAACTTTTTATGACGACATTTGTAGCTTAATTTCCTGTACTGCAATTTTTGATCGATTTATGCAACTTGTATTCAAATTGCACTGAAATATATCGACTAGACATTTGTCATATTTTTGTGCAATCTTTTAAAAATATACATTGTTTCTATAGCAATAGTTCAAGCGATCATAAAAGTCCAATTTCTAAGTCCATATAAAATTGTTCTTGACAATCGAAACTAGTCTTTGTGCTTCTAGAAATTACCTCAAACATCACAAGAGCACTTTATTTATTTTAAGCTGTACACGCCTTAATGTAAAATTGAACTCTATGTCTTGTGTGTTACAGTCTAAAATCAATTGCGATATACTCAACGTGTACATATGCTGATACTTAGTTAATTTAAATGTTAAATATGAATTATAAGTAAATAAACAATTCATATAAATAAGTGTACAGTAGTCGTACATGGCGAATGTTAACGCGCGAGTCATTGCGCAGAATACAATGTTAGGTGTGTTGTAGGCGTAGTGGAATGCGTGCGCGCGCACATGTCTTGAGCCTCCAAGATATTTGAAAAGAACTATACTAGTATTAAGCGTACAATGTATTGATATATAAATCAAATTACATAAGACATTATCATATAGATATACAATATGCAATTTTTTTTTCATAAATCAATTTAAGACTATTATATATAAGGGTAATAATTGCTACAAATCCAATGCAATTATTAGATTTACATCACAAAAGGATTTGATTTAGTGATTTAAATTAGATAATAATTGTATAAATCGTTATTTTTTTATTTTATTTATTTGTAATCTTTAATATACAATATTTTATTAATTAATCGCTTTAAAATTGCCAATTAATGTTTCTATTTTATTATGTTAGTTTAAAAATGTATAATCAAAAAGCGAAATATAATAGACAAATAAATAATACTTTAATTTACAAATCTGTATGTGTATTTGAGTTATATATTTATATATTACGATAGTTTTTATATAACAATATGTTATAATAAATTAAATCATTCATTTTAGTGTTATCTTTTCACGCACTTTGTTAGTCCTCACTATGAAATTTTAATCGTATTTATGTAATAAATTAGTTGTAAGTTGACTACAAAATTGTGCATATTTTTTTGACTACAATTTAAAAATTTTATGAGATTTTTTTTTCTTTATATGATCGTTAATCGATTCAAGGTCATCACAATTAGATCTGTGTTTTATTAATATAATTTGTATATATAGTTAAAGTATTGTTAAATTATATTAAAATTATTTATTATTCTGTATCTGTAATGCGTTCATTTTTTACTATACAAAATGAACGTAACGCGTATCAAGTTAGATTTTTTTTTGTTTTTTATAAAGTACAGCTGAATGTTGCTTTTGTATATGTTTTTCGCCTCTGTCGCGTGAATTGAAACTAGAAATGGCTATTTACAATCAAATTTTTAAAAGCAATTAAAGTTTTTGTGTAAATAATACTTTTGTAGTTTTAATTTTACAATATGCAGTTCGTTATCTGGTATTATTTTTTTTTAAATATGCATTGTACTAACCGTAGACTTACACTGCCGAATTTATACAAAAACATTGTCATCTCTTTCATTCTCTATGAATTAAACTGAGATAACAATCTGTTCTAATATATATGTTTCGGTTGTGGAAATCTTTGTCAAAAAACTATTTTATGTGTAAAATTGCAATATTCACGGTTTAAAGCGTTTAAAGTTTGAATTTGTGTTATTGAAGTGATTAGACATGTTGTTAGTTTCTGTTGAGGTTGATGTGAACGGCGAGAAGCACAATTTTGTACATTTTGTAAGTAATGTTTGGTGCTAAAGTGATTTCGTGGTGTAATACATTATCAAATAAAAAATGAGATTTAATATGACTTTATTATTTACCCATAGAAATTAAACAATGAAATAAAGTGAAACTGAAATTTATTAAATAAATAGGTATAATTTAATTAACAATTAATAATACGGACAAGACGGTGGCGATGAATCGTTATTTTTTCCTGAAGAAATTACTCAATCTTCTACTGCGAGGGGTGCCCTGAAAGATATTCTAAATTAATATCTATCATCCACCAATATGCATAAAAATTCAAAATTTAAACAAATAAAATAAGATATAGGTAAACAGTTAAAATGTCTGATATTATAGACAGTCCTGTATTCAAAAAAACTGTCTATTTTTGGAAGGAAAATAAATAGACCACTTGATATGACTCCGTCTTTAGCAATCAGCACTAATAATAGTTAGAAATAGATTTTTATGAAATGATTTAACAAGTAACTAACGTCGACGGCGTCGCTCCTGTTGGAGGTGAAGAGGGCGCGCAGTCGCGAGGGCGTGGCCGTGCGTCGCCCAGCCTGCGCCCCGCCCCCCGCACCATGCGGCTCCGCCTCCACGCGCAGCGACTCTCGCAGCTCACAGTCCTGTCTCACATACATACTATTAATAACCGTTCTTGAACTAAAATAGTAGCGAATCTTTCTTTCGTCACTTATAAGAAAAAAATTAAGAACAAAATTCACAATATTAGCAGACGATAAAGTTCTGTCGCAGCACGTTCCTGTATGTTGTATTGTCAGCCTGGTACGTACCGTGGCGGAGAGGCGGCCGGCCTGCTTGCTGGGTGTGGGCGGGCCGGGCTTCTTGTACGCCGTGATGCCCACCTCCTTGCGCTGCTGACGCCCGCCGACTGTCGCGTTGGCGGGAACAGCCTGCATTTATAAATGTAATATGTATTTCTATTTTTTATTTTATCCTGAACTATACGCATAATCTATCATAATGAATACTTTAATATCGTCTTCGTGTGCCGCTACGAACTGCGTCTCAGCGGGGTACGAGCTCTTGAGATGCGGCAGGCAGAGCGAGTTGCGCCAGCGCAGCTCGGAGAGGCGGTGGACGGGGTCTCCGCGGCCGCGGGGCGTGGCCAGCTCGCTCGCCCGCCCCACCCCTCCGCCGCGCGCCGCCTCCCCCGGGGACCGCAGCTCCCGCAGGTACCGGTTGTCGAACACCTCGCCCTCCTCATCGGACATGTGCAAGCCGCGACCCTCTGTTAATTCACATAAAAATAAAACATCATGTGAATAAAAACACAAGTAAAGAGCGATAGGTAAATAACTAACTAAACACAAAGAATTTTTAAAAATACTAACCTTTTTTCTTGTTATTAATATTTACAGGAAGAGATCTCAAGGAATGCGTATCTGAAGCTCGGCTGCGATCCTCCGCGTGCGTCGCCGCACCGGACTGGAACACAATATAAGTTACAAATTCATCATCATCATTTAAAGTTAATTTAATTTTACTTTTAAAATCGTGTTTGACGCAAAATGTGTGAAATGTTTTACCGAAGGCATCTGCTGCAGGGACATGAGTGAGGGTGCGCGCAGGGCGCGGGGGCGGTCCTCGTCGCGCTCGACCAGGCGCTCGCCAAGCCGCCACATCTCGCTGGTGAGGCCGCGGATGTGCTCCTCGTACGCGCCGCTGGTCTCCGCGAGGCGCGCTCGCGTTGCCGACAACTCGCGCTCCAGCGCCTCCACCTCGCGCCGCTGCCGCTCCTTGAACACCTCGATCTCTTGGCTGTACAACTCTTTCTGAAAACAAACCACACATATATCAATCGAAACGATACAATGCGCAGGGAAACGAAGCGGGACAAAGACAACGTGCTACAATCATGCTGCATGCATTAAAACGAAATTCGTTACCTCGTCTTACACCTCGATATTCTGAAATATGTTTTACTATATTTAGCGTGAAATTCGCAACTACACTACCACACCTATGTTTTAATGAACACTCCGATAAGTTTAAACTGAAAAATATTGAGATTAAAAAAAAATAAAACAAAAAGTACCCATTAAAACATAACTTTATTCAATAAATAAATTGACTTTACAAGTCAACGAGTCGATAAAAACAAAAAGCCCAGCACTCAGTGATCCATGAGCAGATAGAACCACCACACCACCTGATATATTAATATCAACGACAGTATGGGGAGGGTACTGACCATTTTCGCCTTCATCCGAGTCAGCTTGTCCTCGTACTCTGCGCGCACCTCCGCCACCGTGCCCCCGCCCCCCACCGCGCGCCGCCCCCCGGCCCCACCGTCGCCCTTCAACGCGCGGGCCACCTCCTCCAAGACCTTCTGGAAGGAGTTCTCCAGCTCGTCTATTTGCGCCTCGAGCGCGGCGCTCTGGAAGGAGGCGGAGGCGAGAGAGGCGCGGTCGAGGTCGCTCATGAAGGCCTGCTTCATCTTCTCCGAGGAGAAGGCGCGCGCGACGCAGCGCTCCACCCAGCGCTCCAGGTTGAGGGCGCACTCCACCAGGTCCTGCATCACGGCCGCGTACGTGCGCTCCAGCTTGCACCTCGCCTCCTCGCACAGCCGCTCCTCCACCTTCAGTATCTCTCGCCTCACCGTCCTTTGCAGGAGAATGACCCTGCTTAGCTTTTGCGAATACATCTCCTTGTAGGAATTGAACGTCTTCACGCTGACGGAAAGCTCGGTGAGGAACTTCTTTATGTTGATAACGTCGGACTCGTTTATCCTGTTGACCTCGAGCAGTCTGTCCCGCTCCTTCTGCAGCGCGGCGCGCTTCTCTGCGCAGCGGCGCAGGTGCCTGTCGGTCGTCTCCAGGAAGTTCTCGAGGTCCTCCATGGTGATGGAGCCCGAGTTCAAGCTGCGCTTGAGGTCGCCGTTGGTCGCGTTGCCGTAGTTCGTCAACTCTTTTAGCACCGTATCGGATTTAATTTCTGCGATCCTCTTTTGTATGATCTCCTGGTACCTGGCGGACACTTTGATTATCTGCGAGGCGCGATTCTCCGTGAGGCTCATCTTGGTGATCTGCCTCTTCAGATCCATAATTTCCTCATTCTTTTGGTGCACGATTTTCTTGAGCTGAAGCGAGAGTTGCTGGCAGTTCTCTCTGCTCGACTCCAGCTCCTTGTTCTTGTCCAGCACTTCGCTTTCCGACTCGGCCATCATCGACTTCAAGTAAGTTATATCACTATTAAGATTACTAATTGTTCTATTTTTGTCATTCAGTATTCTCTCTAGATCTGAAATGATTTTGTTCTTCTCTGTGTTGGAATGAGTGTCGGATGATGAGCTATGTACCTGTGTGTCGGGGTGAGGCTGGAGCGCGGGGCCACGCGCCTCTACCTCATCACACTTTCCAATTCTGTCGACGTCACCTGTCATTATTAACGGAAATTAATAAAAATATTTCAAAATATCATCTAAAAGTTGCACTTAACACTGATGTTACTTACTTGTATCAATTTCCCAATTCCTATCGACACCATCTTTCAACTTGCTCAATTTCTTCTCCAATTCACTGATATCGTATTGATGTAACTGCACTTGTTTTTGATATTCACAATTAAGTATTTTTTCTTTGGCTAATTCTTGATTAATTTTTAAAATAACATCGTCCTTTTCCTCTAAATTCTTTGTCAACATTTCGTTCTTCTGTTTCAAATCAGTTTCATGTACTTTGGCTTCAGATGTCACAATCTTAATTTCCTCTTTTAATGCATTTATTTCTGTTCGTCGTTGTTCTAATACTTGTTCTATTTTTATAATATATTCTTGTAGAACTCTACATTTGTCGTCAATATCTAAATTATCAATATTTTCTTTGAACAGATCATTTTGTTTCATTACTTTTTGAATTACCTTTTCCAAATTTGTAATCTCTGAAAAGCATATTTTAAATTTATTTTTTATTTATTTACTAGCTGTCGCCCGCAAGTCCGTCCGCAAGAAATTATAAAAATACATTATTAGTCATAACAACATAAAGTAGTCAATGTGTTCTATATGTATACCAGTTTTCATAGAGATCCGTTCAGCCGTTCTAGAGATAACTTCAAACAAACATAGTAACAGTGGTAGAGCCCGCTTTAACATCTTCGCACGAATTGTCCCGGCTCGCCCGGTGAAATACCACGACCACACAGAAGACAGGCGTGAAGTAGAAGCAATTCCGCGTTTCGTCTGATAAGTGTGCGTCCCGGAGGCCTAATTTAGTCCTCTTTCACTTCCCACCCTTTTCTTTATAAGGAAAGGATGGAAAGTGGAAGTGGACTTTACGGATGAGAGGATGCATGGAAAGGGAAAATATTTTCTTTCTGTGCATCCTCTCCTCCGTCGATTAAAGGTAGGCAAGGCATATGCAATTGCGTATGTCTATGGGCAACGGTCACTTCGCTATTTCAGCGATTTCAGGTGGCCGCTCGCTCGTTTGCCAACTTATGATATAAAAAAAACATCCATCCATCTAAACATTCGCATATATAATTCATACATAAAATGTTCACTTACCTGTTTCATAAGTAACTACAGTGCTTTTCAATTGCACATTATCTTTTTTAATTAGAGTCAATTCATTTTGTAGAACGTCAAAATCTTTTTGTACTTCATTTAATTTTACAATATTTTTATTATTCTCTTGAATAAGTAAATTATTGTCGCTTAAAATTTTATCTTTTTCATTTTTAATGTCATTAATTTCTTTTTTTAATTCCGTTATTTCATTATTATAAGTAAATAGTTTGTTATTAAGTTCATTTGATTGTTGGAGTGTCAGTTCCAGATGTTTAGCTAATTGTTCATTGTTCGTGATTTGCGTTTGTAGTTCATCTTGTAGAGAATTCTTTTCATCTTTAAATTCAACTTCTAAAGCGTCCATTTTAATTTTCCATTCATTATTCTCGTTTCTCAATAATTCACATTCTAGAACAAAGAAAATTTTAAAAAGGTTGTAACCAAAAATTTACAAGAAAATAAAGTTTTACGGCAAAAAAAAATATATATACCTTCATCTTTTCTCTTAAGAATTTCTGTAAAATGCAATTTTTCGTTTTGTGCAACTTCTCTATTCTCAGTTTCAGCCATATTCAACCTTTGTTTAAGTTCTAAGACTCTAATTTCTTTACTTTGCAGTTCTTGTTCACATCTTGACATTGTCGCTCTTTCTTCTTTTAAATCTTGTATTAATTTATGTATTTTCATCTCTTTTTCTTCATATTGTTCAAGTAATGTTTTATTATTTTCTTGTAATTCAGTTTCACGTTGTTTTGCGTCAGATATACATATTTCTAGTTGTTTTTTTAATTCATTTATTTCAGCGTTTCTTTTATCAAGATTTAATTCGGCTTGCGTAAGATTTTCTTCCAAAACTTGGCATTTATTCGTAAGAGTCACTTTCTCCGCGTCGTTATCTTGAGACAGTTTATCATTTTGTTCAGATTTCTCTTTCATTAGTTCCTTTAAGTTTGTTATAACTATAAAAAGAAAGCAGAGGGTAAATTTTTGCTAGAGTATCATGAAAAAAAATATAATAGTATGTAGAAACAAAAATGACAATATTATAAGAAAATTCTTACCCGTTTTATCTTCATCGACTAATTTCGTCAATCGTAAATTTTCTTCTTTCAATGTTGGTATCACTTCATTTTCTAATATAAGCTTTTCATTTTCAATATCGGCTATTTTTAACAAAATCAAATTTTTCTCTTCAATCAGATCACCTTTTTCAATTTCCAGCTTTTCTAATTCCTGTTTTAATTGCGTGTTTAAGTCATTATAAGTATTCATACAGGACTTAGTTCTTTCTAGTTCATTAATCATTTCAGTTTTTTCTTCATCAAGTATCACTAAATTGTGTTTCAATTCATCAAAGTTAGTTTTCAATTTAATTAAGTTTGATTCTAAGTTACTTCTTCCATCAAGTAACTCTTGTTTCTCACTTTCCAATTTTTTATTATCACTGATCAAATTATCTTTGTCTTTTTCTAATTCAACCAACAATGCTTTGTACAAACACTTCTCTTTTTCTAGAGTGGCTTTTTCGTTATTATATACCTTTAATTCTTCTTCTAAATTATTAACTTTAAATGATTTTTCTTTTAACTCTTCGCTTAATTCTTCTTTTTTAGTGTTCAGTTCTTCTATTGTGTTCTTTAATCTTTCCTTTTCTATCTTTATATTGCCATCTATTAGATCTCTTTTACATTTCCATTCGTTATTTGCATCCCGCAAAATAGAAATTTCTACAAATTAAAAAAATCATTAAGCACTTATAAAATATACTAGCTATCGCCCGAGACTCCGTCCCCGCTGAATTGAAAAAAAAAATTAATGAGTAGCCTTCGAGAGCATCCAGACTACGTTCGTACGTATCCCAAATTTAATCGTTATCCATCCATCCACCCAAACATTCGCATTTACAATATAAGTAAGATAGTAAGATTGGACTACAGTGACAAGAAAATTTTAAATATATTACCTTTTTCTCTCTCTGCAACCAAGGAAGATAACAAAGTATATTTCTTGTTCAGTTCACTAATACATGTCTCTTTTAATACAACTTCGTTTTGCAACAAACTGTTTGCATCTTCTAGACTTTGACACTTGTTTTGATAATCTTTTTCTGCTTTATCGTATTTCATATTTATATCTTTTAAATTGTTTTCCAATTTACCTATTTCTTTTAGACTACTTTCAAGTTTACCTTTTAAAGTAAATATATCCCCGTTCAATGATTGTATTTGTAATTCCTGATTTTCTATAATTTTATTAGATTTAGCTTTAATATCTTTGAATGTTTTTTCAGCATCACTCAATTTGGTCATAAGTTTTGATATTTCTATACCGAAATTATTTTCAATCTCCATAAAACGTAACATTTTTTCCTGTAATTTTTGCTCCAAATCGTGAATAGCTACAATAAAAAAAAATATTTAAGAAAATATTACCATGTAACTTTTTTTCATATTGAATATTTTTTTAATTCAAGGAATATTTGGAGGAAATATTTGAAACTTACTTGCGCCTTTCTCTTCCATTTTTCTTGACAATGATTCACGTTCCGACTCTAATTCCAAAATAATATTAGTTTTTTCATTAACAATTGTAATCAAGTTGTTCTTTTCATCATTTAATAACATTATAGTTTTATGAAGGTCTTCTTTCTCGGCGTTAACAGATTTTAAGTCAACATTAATTGAGGCAATTATTTCAGTATTTTTATTTATTTCATCTTGTAAACATTTATTAAGATGGCGTAGTTCATTTTCGCATCTTTGTATTATTTTGTCTTTCTCCTGACTGTCAATAGTTAGTTGTTCAATTTTTTCATTAAGTTTGTTATAATCTTGTTTATGTTCTGTATTTATTTCTTTTTCTTTTTGTAAAAGTAATTCAGTTTCTTTGATAATTGCATCTTTTTCTTGTGTCATTATCTTAATGGAGTCCATGAGGTTTTGTTCTTTCGTATAAGCATTAGTCAAATCTTGGTTGAGTAAAGCAATTTTTTCTGTATATTTAGAGATCTCGGTTTGAGAATAATTATTTAAATTAGTCAATTTAATTTCATATTCTTTTAATAAATTATCTTTTATTGTCAATTCATTGGATATTTTTACTAAGTCTCGTTTAATGTTTTCATCATCCTGTTTCAATTTATTGTACATTTCTTTTTCCTTACGCAAAATTTCTTTCTTTTCTGTGATGATTTCATTTTTCTCATCTGTTAGTGATTTTATCGTGTCTTGAAGGCTTTGCTTTTCTGCGTTTACTTTAGCCAAATCTTTATTGAGTGAATTAATAGCTTCATTACCTTTTGTAATTTTATTCTGAAAAGACGTATTTAAATCTTGTATTAATTTATCTTTTAAGATTAATTCACTGGATAGTTTTTCCAAATTATTTTTTAGACTATCATACTCCTTTTTAAGTACTTCGTGTGTTTCTTTTTCTTTATGCAAAAGTAAATCTTTATCTTTTATAATTTTATCTTTTTCATTCTTCAATGATTCCACGAATTTTTGCAAATTATTATATTCCTTTTTAAGTACATGATATGTCTCTTTTTCTTTATGAATAAGTAAATCCGTATCTTTCATAAATTTATCTTTTTCAATCTTTAATGATTCGATGAAAGTTTGCAAACTTTGACACTCCATTTTGAGTTCTTCGTGTGTTTCTTTTTCTTTGTGTAATAGTAAATCTTTTTCTTTTATAGTTTTATCTTTTTCATTCTTTAATGATTCGATGAATGTTTGCAAATTCTCATACTCTTTTTTAAGTACTGCTTGAGTTTCCTTTTCTTTGTGTAAAAGTAAATCCTTATCATTTATAATCTTATCCTTTTCATTCTTTAATGATTCCACGAATTTTTGTAAATTATCATACTCGTCTTTAAGTACGCCATGTGTCTCCTTTTCTTTGTGTAAAAGTATATCCTTTTCTTTTATAATTTTATCTTTGTCAATCTTAAATGATTCAATGAAAGTTTGCAAACTTTGACACTCCTTTTTGAGTACTTCCTGTGTTTCTTTTTCTTTATGCAAAAGTAAATCTTTTTCTTTTATAATTTTATCGTTTTCATTCTTTAATGATTCAACATAATTTTGCAGACTATCAGACTCCTTTTTAAGTACTTCATGTGTTTCTTTTTCCTTATTTAGAAGTAAATCTTTTTTATTTATAATTTCATCTTTTTCACTCTTTAATGATTCGACGAAAATTTGTAAATTCTCATACTCTTTTTTAAGTACTGCTCGATTTTTTGTTTCTTCTTGTAAAAGTAACTCCTTTTCTTTTATAATATTATCTTTCTCGTTCTTTAATGATTCAATTGATGTTTGCAAACTTATCTTTTCTTCATTGACATTTGCCAATTCTGTATAAAGTGTTTTAATTTTTTCACTATTTTTTGTGATTTCTTCCTGCAACGATTTATTCAATTTTTCGTATTCTTCTATTATTTGACTCTTTTGTAAAAGTTCTTTTGAAACTTTTTCAATATCAACCTTAACCTCGTCAAAGTCTTGTTTTAAATTCAAATATTTCTCTCGTTCTTCTTGTAGACACAAATCCTTCGTTTTGATAATTTCTTCTTTATCTTGCATTTTTGTGACAGTTTCTGCCAATTCAGTGTTTAGTTTTGTGTTTGTATTTGATAACTTTGTAATAACACCTTGTGTCTTTTCTAGCTCATGTTGTAATCCTATTTTAAAGTCGATTTCATTTTGTAATTGAGTTTGAAGTGATTTGACCATGGCGCACATTTCGTCAACTTTGCATTGAATTTTATCTTTCTCTTCACTATGCAACTGTCTCAAATTATCTAGTTCTTTGCGCATTTTTTCAGCACTGACTTGTCTATTTTGAACATCATCAAGTAAAGACTGCTTCGTTTCTTCTAAAATTCGACATTCTTCTTTCAAATTAGCTGCAGATGTTTTAAAAGTATCAAGATCCTTGTTCAAATTGTCAATGGAAACATCACGTTTTTGTATTTCTTGTATTAATTTTGTAATCTCTAAACATTTCTCCTGTAGATCTTTTTCTATTTTGATTTTTTGTCCGTTTAAAACAGCAAAATCATTTGTAAGTTCGTTAATTTTAGCATTATTTAATTCCTTCTCTTTGCGAAGTTCCAAACTTAATTGTTCAATAATTTCACTTTTCTGTAAAATCTTATTTTGTAACTCCACCAACTCATTATTTCTATTTAATACTTTTTCTTTTAATTTCATAACACGATTTTCATAATCATCTCTCATATTATTTCTAGAAGTTTTTTCAGCGTCTAATGCATCTTTTAATTCCTTTATTTGATTATCTGACTTTTTAGCTTGATCTGACAAACTTTGAATAAGAGACATTTTCTCATCCTGTAATGTTTTAACATCATGGGAATGTTTCTCATTAATCATTTTGCATTGCTCACTTTGAGACTTAAGTTTTTGTTCTAATTCGTTCACAACATTGTTTAATTTTGTAATTTCGTTATCCAAAAAGCATTTTAAATTATTTTTATCTTCAATTTCTTCATTAATACGATGTTTAAGGCCGAAAATTTCATTTTCTTTATCCGAAATTATCTTCTTGAATGTATTAACATTTTGTTGCTGTTCATTACATTCATCCTACAAATTAAAACATAATTTTAACTCCATAATGAAATTTGATTAATTCAAAATAAAAAGATATAAAAAAAATACCTGTAACATTTGAATTTGTTGTTTTAGTGCTTCAATTTTTGCTCTTTCTTCACCTAACTGGACTTCCACTACATTAGCACAGACTTCGTTACAGACGGCTGTAAGCAGAAAATTTATTTTTTAAATACAAATAAAACACGAAACAGAATACGGTGTGGTCTAAGATCTAATGTATTATCACATGGAAACAAAATATTCTCATATGAAAGTAACCTCGCTACTTGGTGGTAGTAAAAGTGTTAATAATAACTCTTACAGAAACTCCGTTGTAAAGACTGTACACTTGTGTCAGGATCATCACACTCCAGCATACTGGCGTCAAATCCGTTGCGTTGGTTGTGCTGCCGAAGCTCAGTCACCAGTTCTCGGAGGCTCTGACTTAGTCGCCTCTCGTTCTCCAACTCCTCGGCCAGCTGAGTGGCTTGAGAGCTCTCTTGTTGATTTAATACTATCAATCTATCGCATTCACACTTCAAGTTGTCCAACTGAAAAATTTATGGCAAACATTAATTAAACTAAAAAAAATAATAAACAAATTTCCATTTTGATCCAAAGCCAAAATAAAGTAAGTAAATTGAGTGATTTTAACTTAATATATTTTTTGCAAGTTAAAGAGACTTAGACTGTGGATTGGAACAAGATGTTATTTATATATTCATGTTACAAGATACCTTTGTTTTCAATGTGTCTCTCTCATGTTTGACCTCATCCAGTTCTTCCTGCACATCCACAAGGCGCTGTTCCATCTGTTGCAGTTGTTTGGTCAGCTTACTAATCTCACTGTTGTCTGTCTCCCCGCCGCGCGCCTCGGCCTCCTGACCGCAACACAGCGAAATCTTTGCCTTCAGATTCACTATATCTATCTTGTATTGTTCTTTGTCTTTTACTAAAAAAAAAACATACTATTAAGGATTTTAGTCTTCTACAATACACAACTACAACTCTCCTTTTGAGAAGGGCAGACCCAAAACAAGGGACAATGGAATGGAAAAAGATGGGTGACTGCCAAAACCTCTAGTACAAGATATTAACTATACAACAAATTGCAGGAGTTTAAAAAGGAAAGTTTAGACTGTGATAATGTCCCATGAAAATTTTAATTATTATTTTACTATTTAATATTACCTAACTTCTCCAACTTTAAATTGGTCCTGGAGAGCTCATCTTGCAAGTAATTCCTGTCGAAACGCTCCGCATCGAGTGCTGCCTGCAGGCGGCGCACCTCGCCGTGTAGCGAGCGTAGCGCTGGCGGAGTCTCCGCCACCAGGGAGCGCCCGCACCCCTCGCCAGTCGACATATCGGGACCACAGGCGTCTGTAAACCAAGTGTTATGACGGATTTAATTTTTCATTTTAATGTATTTTTAATAGCATCATAGTTTCCATACAGTGTAGATTACATTAGAAACAATTTTGTAAACAATAACACAAATTGGCCAAAGATATAAATTTAAACAATGAGACTTATAAAGAAGATGGATATTATTTGTTTATTTACAGTTAATAAATGTCACTTGTAAACTGTAGCCTTGTTTGAAATCCATTTCTAGAGAAACATTGTCATATCAGCTTGTTTATTTTAAGCCAATTATATTGTCAACATAATCGTGTAAAAGCAGTGTTGTATTTAAGAAGCTCTATCAATGCAACTACACTTTGCACTCGTACAAAGGTGATGAAAAATAAGAGTTTAAAGTAATTAAACATTATCATAAAATACTTGCGTAACATACAAAGCTTTTGTAAATTAATATTATACAATTAAGATTCAAATAAACCCAAAAGAACTACCAAACTAATAAAAATAAGATAAATCAATACTGTACTGAAAAATGTTTAATACAAGACTGCAGTACTAATTCAAATTAACTTATTAATTTATTATATCTGCGCAGATAACATTAACATCCCAAATTTAAAAAATTGTAACAGCAGCATCAATTATCAAAACACATTTAAAAAATGTAATTAAAAAAAATATTTAAAAAAAATCTTTTTTTTATTTTACAAAAATGTTATTTTCTATATTAAAATGAAGAACAAGGGGGTAAAAATAAATTATTTAACAAACCTTTAAAAGTAAACCTTTGCTAATTCAGGAAACAGATGCTTGCTAAACTTTCCCTTTAAACATGCCAGCTGCTCTTGAACAGCTGGGACATTTGCTTGTGTGAAAAAAATCACCCCTCTGTTAACTTGTGTTGTTAATAAAAACTAGGAGTTTACAACATACTAAATGCTTAGTCATTTAACAGAGTTTTATATTAGTTATTTAGTTCTGTAATTGCTATTTGAACTCTACATAATTTTTAATAAATACATTTTTGCTATAAGAAAACTAACTAAAACTTACTAAACTGTTAAAAGGTGCTTAAAACTTTTAATCTATTAAGAAACTCAATTAAGCACTGACCTGTTATAGCAGCAACTACTTCGAGAGGTGAAATCTTCGAACAATCCATTAAAGTTTTGCTAAATTTTAATATAACTTCTTGGTCGCTCGCACTAAGTTTGCTGCACATGGCGCTTTTTATGTTTACATCTTTCGAGTTTACGCAAACGAAGAAAAGCAAAAGAGAAGCTGCTATGAATATATCGTCTTCGGTTACAGCTTGAAGTGTACCATTTTCGAACATGAATCCAGGAAACTTTTCAGCAATAAATTCTTCTAATGTCTGTCCACTAAAAATTGATGATTTCGACTCGTCCAAATTAAAGTTTTGACGAAGGTGATTTATAATATTAAGTAGCAACTCTTGGTTAACTTGTGGTTCATGTTTGTTATTGTTATCATAAAAGTAACAGTTTATCTGAAATTAAGAAATAGTATTAAAAATCGTTATAAAAAGGCGTAAACTCATA